ACACACACACACACACACACACACATTCACTCACACACACACCACGAACCCCGAATGGGCATTTTCTGTGGTCGAAGTTTAATAACACCCTCGCAGACACAATGGCCGTCATTTGAAAGGCAGAGCACTCAATCCCCTGTGAGGACACACCCGGGGAGAAAATGTGTCGCGACACGACGGAATCAGGCGCTCGTCAATTTTGGGGCATATGGCGTTCCTGCAGTCATCCTAAAATTTGTTCATCTGAATTTCTTTTGAGGAAAAAAATAACAATTTATCTCAACTAGAAGTTGAAATATATGCGATAGATGGAGGGGAGGGAGGGGGGTGTCGCCTGTTGTCAGAGGAAAAATGAACGAGAAATTGGCTACCAAAGTTTGGCAAGTTTCAAAGCTTGAGTGTCATAAGAAACTGCAAATTTACATTTTTATTCATTTGATCAACATTTTTCTGTAAAATCCACTAAGAAATGTGATGCATATATGCGTACGAGTTGTTGAGCCTAAACATTATCTATAGAAAGTGCACATAAAGGGGATTTGGGGGGAGTGGGGATATCGGTTTCTTCGATTTCATTATTTTGACGAGCACCTGATTTCCCCACGGTTCCACACAAATAATCCTGGACGGACCAGTGTGATAATTGGCCACTCTCATGGGTTCGAACTTAGCAACCTTCTGAGCACACCGCAGGCAATCGTTGGCGAACCTAAAAACGTACCCATTAGCATATTTATTAGATTACTCATTAGCATACTAATTATTCTGGCATACATATTCGCATTTTTCTATCGGTTTTGTCTATAATGGAAGTTATAGAATTAATGTCAACAATGCTGTTGGCGAGGTTTTGCTTTGAGGGCATTTCTTTAAAATGTTAATTCTTTACGTACCAAACGCCGGTAGCGTAGTGGTAAGGCTACCGGGCCATAATCGTGAAATTGCGGGTTTAGTGGTTCGAGCCTCACCTCGGTCCGATGTCGTAGCCTTGGGAAAGGTACTTTATAATAATAATAATGAAGATCATTTCTATAGCGCCCACTCCCGTGTAAACACAGCTCT